TATATATATATTAACTGATTTCTCCATCTCATCCTTCGTATGTGTTCCCCTGTTTTTTGCATTAATATCACGAAATATTTCTTTTTGTATTAGGAATGTTCTTCAGAGAAATTCCAAAATTTATTCTCTCTATATTTTTTCCTATTAAGAATAAAGATTTAGAGTGCTCGACTTTCATTAGGAGCCAATGTAAAGGAATATTTCGTGATATTAATGCAAAAAACAGAGGAATTGATACGAAAGATGAGAGGGAGAAATCAGTTAATTTATAATATTAAGGCTCTATAAATTTAAATTGAGCACTATTTTGTAAAAATAAAAATATCTATAAGAACACTGGATTATATATCTTACTGTTCTTTCTTTTTATTTATATATACATATGTACATACATATACATACACATATATAAGTTTCATGTGAGGCTTTAATAAAACTGAAACATGTTAAATTGATAAAACTTTCCAATTTGTTCGTTAAATTTTCACTCAATACAAAGGTCAAGATCCACTCAAGTGGTTACTCTGTGGTGTTTTATTAGCGTAAGAAAGATCAAGAAGTGAAGTTCTTGGATCTATTTACAAAAGATAACAGCTAATTTTAAATTTGAAGAGGTCAAGATTTAATTAGTGAATGACATTTCAGAGTTCAGGCGGAGACGTTAGAAGAACAGTCCGAATGTAGACTTTATAAGGAACCGGAAACCAATCCTAAGCAAGAAACAAAGGATCAACCCTCTACTCCTGTTCAAAGACCGAGGAAGAGTGTGAACCGGGAAATAGGTAACCTTCCACATCTTGGCAGGATAATAAAGTCAAGGCTGAAATGTTATCGGCCCGTACTTTTCCTTAAATGGGATCAGACTTGTTCTTTTTGCATAGTTTCTTGGTCGGACGCCGAAACCGTTTAGCACCCCTTGCTAGATTTGTCAGAGTTCAGTCCGACAAGTTAGAAGTATATAGTGGAACTAGACTTCAGAAGTGACCGGAAACCTACTATTAAACACGAAACAAGGAATAAATGTCTACTCCTGTCCAAAAGATCGGGGAGGAGTGTGAACCGGATAATATATGAACCTATCTACTCCTATTAAATGCTATCCCCAGTCATGAAGCAAAATATTATATTTTATGATCGAAAAGCTGTGTTATCGTGCAGCACAAAAGAAAAAAAGAATATGAATATTTTTATCGCAGAAATTCTCTGAATGGGGAGAACCTTATTAAGTTAAGAATTGCAGTCTTTAAGATTTTATAGGTTTCTTGTATTTGAACACTGGTGCTGGAAATAAATATGCAACCGAGATCTTTGATATAAGCAGAAAATTAAAGAAAGTTGCAGTTGTATGAGGTCTCAGTCAAAAGTTCAGATTTAGCCATCGAAATATAGAAATGAAGATCTGTCAGATCGTGGTTGTCGTTTTTAAAGAGAAGCAGAGAGAGACAATGGTGATTGAAACCTTATTGGCGGAGTGATTGGAACAGCCTGATAAAAAGACTGGATGAATAGAATATATGTGGAAGCGTTAATTACACTAATACGAATACTGAAATTGGCTCTGTTGATTTGAGATTTTCTGTGAAAGGATGCTACGAAAAAGCCGCCAGTTACTTTTCATGCGAAAATTTATTTATAATGAAATACTGACGGGTTGTCTTTCAAGAGAAATCATTAGTAATTTATACTAGGTTGATACAACACTTCACAGAATCATTTAAAAGATAGATGCAATCAAAACTTATTCCAAGTGGAGAAATAAACACCTGTTTTCTGCTAAACGCTGAAAAAATATTTCTACACAAGATTTTTTTCGGTTGGATTGGTTTGTTTTAAGGCAAATGACCTTCAATAGGTTATTTAATGTCGCCAAGATTTTTATTATCATAGTGGACCTGGAAACACCAGCAATTAAGAAGTGGTTTCACGGTCCTCAAAACCTCCTGATCAGAGGCCTTGTTGTCGGATGTAGTTTATCGTCATACCCAGGACTCGGATGTAGGTCTATGGTCATATTTACTGAAATGCGGTTCTTCAGAAGGAAGATAAGGATACCATGTGAGCAACGACGAAGTTTTAGAGAAAATGGAAACAAAAAGGAAATTATACTTAACACCAGGAAGAGACAGCTGAAATTGGTAGGACATATAATAAGTAAAGTGGGCTTGGAAAATCTTCGACTCAGAGGACAGGTTGAAGGCAAGAGGGATAGAGGAAAATAAACACATAACATAATGAACTTCAGTAAATAGATGGCGGAACATGATTTTAGAGAAATAGCAGAAAGACAAAATTTATTAAGAGCTACAAAGGATAAGAAGTTGTGGATAGCTATGTTCGTTTATGTCCTGAAGGAACACGGCACATAAAGAAGAGAAGTATCAGCTGAAAACGAAAAAGGCAATGGTTATAGCATAATGAGAAACCGACTCTAACATCAGAACACTAGCCAAAAAAATATTTGTTCTGAGTCGTCCATTACGAACTACTTGAACATGGAAGG